AATCTCTGTGCTTGCAGAAAGATTATTCATGTAGTCTAAAAGACTGTATGAAAGAGTATTCATACAGTCCATCCACATGATTAGTAAAGGAGTGTACATTGTACATTAACAGTGCTTACATTCTGCAACTCCATGAGTCCTCATCATCGAAGTGAGAAAAGGGTATTTTGAAAATTAAATAATAATCACAATGCAATGTACTCGAGAGAACATTGTATCTGTGTCAACAAATATCCTCATTCACCTAGCTACAACTCGAGGATGCTCAACTTTCTCATGGAGGGATAAATTATAGCCAGCCCAGACTCTTTCCCACTTTGACGTTGTGCCAATTCACTGTCATCTCTTCACCCCCTAAGAACAGTTAAGTGCAATCTGCAGCTCTAGTGAGCATTCTGTATAACTAAAGTAACTTAAAAAAACCCAGCAACAGTAGATGAAAGAGGCTGTGAAGGAGACAGCAATACTAACCTTTACAGCCGAGAGCAGTTGCAGCTGCCCAGCTCTATGGCACCTCTAAAGTCTCTATCGGCTCCAACACTCAGCAAGTGACTGGGTAAGCTCCAGGCAAAAAGGCACCATTAAGCTTTGTGCTGTCATGCTAACAAATCCAAGTCTTGTTAGTTTAATGCTGCTTTTGGTGTGTCTCTGCTCCATAACATTCACAGCAGCAACTGCAGCATAGGCTTACCCAGGGAGAGGCCAACAGATGTGGTGAGTTGTGCTCACAGCTAGAAGTGCAAAGTGTTCGATCAGCTGCATGTAGATAATTAGTTCTATAATTTAAAATGTTTCTGTTATTCCTTAACATCCATGCTAAGCTGCAGCTAGAGAAATTCTTCTCTAAACACCAACTGTTAGAAGAGATTTCCATTCACAGGAACTTTGGTTTTAGTTCAAGGAAGAACGGAAAACAAAAGAAATTTGTAAGATGAAAACAAAAGAAGTTTATAAGAATGCTCAGAAGACTCTCAGGCCAACCTTACATTATTTCTGTAAACTTTAAGTTAAAAAAGACAATAGATTGATTCCCAAATGTTCAAATTATCTGGTAAGGAGTGACAAACATTAAGCTAGGTGATCTTCCAAAACAAGTATCTATATCCTTGTGATGCTAAATTATTTAGACCACAACAACTCTGAACACTGACAGTAGTGACCATGAAAGGAATGGAAATCTCATTTGCATAATTTTTGCATGCCACATTATATTTAAGGATTAACACTGGCCAGCTCTGTACCCTGGTCAGCTGCTAGTTGACTACAGCTTCCTTCTATTTCTCCAGTCATTGATATTCAGAGGATAAGCTCAGAGCCTCCTTACAGCTCACAGCTCCCTTACACCAGCTCAGTGAGAATTTTCTGTATTGGAAAAAAAGGGTATCAACTGCAAGTCAAATTGTGGTTCCAGTTGGAAAAGAACCTATAAGAACACCCCCTTTTTCTGTGCCCTGTGTTCTTTTCACACAGTGGTCACCTTATCCTACTGACTATTATGACAGATATTATTTTGATTTCTCTCAGCTCCTGAGGACCAGCTCAGAGGTGAGAGTGGACTGGCACCGTCATCATATAAGCTGTTCAATAAGTTTTAGACTTGTGTAGGTGCGTTAAAGAAACTGAAGTTATTAAAATATTAATTTGGGCCTAATCTGGCATAAACCTTCATCTTTATTGTCAATGCAATGCCCATGATAGAAAGTTTGCACTTTGACTTCCAGGGTACAGGCTGGAATTTGGAAAAGGGAACAGAATATATTTCTACTTATAAACTTCATAGGTTTTAGACTGGATCCTTGTGTAACAAATGCAAAACTATTAAAATGTGGTATTTATGGCCATTCACTGGAGCAGAACAGCAATGTTAAAAGCTTATGTTTCTGGTATTATACTTTTCTGAGTCCTGCATGGCTTTGCCAAACAAAAGCTTGAAAATGTTTGAATAAGACTACTGGTATTTCTCTACATCCTATTGTCGAGAGCACTACTGTCTTTTTTTTGTTGTTGTTGCTTCAGAGCTTTTAATTCAAACTATGCATCTTTTTTTTTGGAATATCTAGAAACAACTGATTAAAGCCCTGTCCAGTCTAGTGTATTTGACATTTAATCAACATTTACCCATTGTACTGGATCTCAATACCAACAGTAAAATAAGAACTTTTGCTATTTTCAATTCATCGGTACCTATGCATGGCTCTAAAAGAGAAGCACTACTGAATTTTGTCAGAATTGCACCATTTCAAGTCCAGCATAAAACATGCATTTTTGTGGAAGTAAACTTAAAAAAAAATCAGATTATCTGCCTCATTTATGCAAATAAGAATGTTCTTATTCGAGACAGCCAACCAAGTGTTACGTTGTCGAGTTCATACTACAGATGAGAAATGGTAAGGAAGGACTCTTGGGTTATATGCTTACACTCCCTCTTTTTAGTTTTATGAATGTTCCTGGTCATTGCCAAAAGTATGACAAAACTCAGTCATGTAAAACGATGTCCAGGAAGGTTACCTCAAATATAAAGGGGACAGACTGGATCAATCATCATTGCTGCTGCACTTTCATTCATTATTCTCACTTTAGATAAAAGGATCCTAAGGCCAAAGGAACTACAACACCTCTGATGTCAATGCAACTCCTTACTACAGGGAAGTCAGTAGGTCTGGGGGCAATTTAAGGTATGAATTGGATTATGGACACCAGTGGGATGGTAGGAGTATCCTTCAATTTTGAGAAGAATTGTGGCTGCAGATATGGTAAGACTTTTAGTCTCTTGTAAAAAATATTTTGGAAATCGAGGTGAGAAAAAAAATATGGGGTGATTTCCTCTGAATCATGGAAATGATGTTCTGTGGAGCATATGATTGCTTTATGCTGCCAAGTAACCTACAGATACACTTAAGAAGCAGAGGGATTAAGTGTGCTGTTTGGTTTGCATTTCTTGAGAGATTACCTGTGATAAGGGCTTTAAATTTGGAATGCTTACTTTGAAAGTTTCCTTTGTATATACAGTGTCCTGCGTGTACAGAGTAAAAAATACGTTCAACCTCTATACCCTTCCCTAATAATGTAGAATGTTCCTATTAGTTCTGTATCACATCTTTGTAATTAAGACATTAGATGTCTTTGTTAAAGAAATATAATAACTGAACTTCTGCCTTCAAACTATCCTTATACAGTGCAGCTTTTTGCTGTAAAGGAGATGCAATGAATATGGCTGCTGTGTTAGCAATGCTCCTTCATCATGCTATGCTGTGCCCACTACCAAGAAGTATGACCACATAGATTTCTTTCCCATCCCTCCATAAGGTATTATTACACTATTGAGAGGTGGAAGAGCCCAAAATAACCCAAGGAAAATTAACTCCAGAGGAAATCCACAACTTCTTTTTCTGAATATTTAGGCAGAAAAAATGGGAATAACAAATTCTTTTCTTACCACCATTCCTGAACTGCACTTCGGCAATTTTTTTATCTACAACATTTGGCAGTAGAGACTGATCTTCAGCAACTCATATGCCACTTAATTCTCTTCTTTGCATCTGTAAAATACATCTGACAGTGTAATAAACATATCAGATAACGGAGTTTTTTAGGCCTTAAGCTGGCTGCCAGCTAACAGTAATTCTCTTACCTAATGGCCATGAGTGCTTAGAAAGGCTATTGTTTTTAAAACATTAATGACATCCCAAGGCTACTGCAGCAGCCACCCTATATATTAATATAAATGTTTCAAGGAAGCTAAGCACAGTCAAGCCCTCTTAAAACCAAATAGATTGACTTCATTTGAACTTAAACATATGCTTAGAGCTATGCATACATTTAAGTGTTCTGCTGAATGGCATTTTTCTTCAAAGAACAGCCCTGTTAACTTCAATAAGACTATTTATATGATCATGGTCTTCTAGTCTTAAAGAAGTATAAATTTACAATCCATTAATGGCAAGCCCAAACCTATGAAATACCATTATAATGAACTTATTTAATAAAGTTCACATTTATTCAGTTCTAAGCCTGATAATATATCTGTAAGGAATCTCAAGAATGTAGGATAGCAATACTTAAAGGGCATTGAACATGGAATTTTAGAATCTGCATCTATAAATCGGGTTTTATCTCCTTTTATTTGCCAGGTGTTTAAAGGAGGTCTTGATGTCATTTCAGATAAGGGTTTGCATGCAAACAAAGGTACTTGGGTACAACACATCACTGTTTGCTGCTACTAAAACAGTGGAAAGAAACAGAAATGTAGAAGCACTTTTCACCCTTTTTATAAAACACATAAAGCAAATAGTGTACCGAAGCTCCCTCTGAATTATATGTAAAAATCAATTTTATTTATATTAAATAGGCATAAACCACCTTTTAATTAAGCAAAGGCTTTCGGTTCTCCCATGAGAGGTAGTGTGTGTTTATTCTCAGTCTGTGCATTAAGATCCTTTGAAAGGGCATTACCATTGTGGCCATTTTGGGAAGGGGAACACTGTTCCTTATCGAGGAAGCAATTAAACCTGACCAGAAGGGGGGTTCAGGGAATATAGCATGTAGGAAACAGGAAAGAGTGTGCAAAGCAGGGCACCAGGAGCCTGCAGCACGCACAAAGATCAAGATCACTGGCAGCAGCCAGCTGGGTCTCAGGAATTATAGCAGGGCTTTATGAGGGACTGGAAAGGAAGAGGCAGAATTTGCTGCAGCTCAGAAAGTCACTTATCTGGTTTGCACAGATGCAAAGACTCAGCAAGGATATGGTAGAAGTGGGAGGAAGGAGTTTTTATTACAATTTGCCTGGTGTAGTCAGCTTCAGATTTGTTTATGTGGCAAGCTAACGCGTCTCCTAAAACAAAACAGCAAAAGAATACGTATATCAAGTTTCAGCTCAGAGGTTACATGATGTATATTGTACCAAAGCCTAAGGAATACATGCAGGAGTGGGAGAGAGAGGTATACATATATATGTATATGGGAGGTATACATACATATCCCTGGTGTATACATATATATGCCTGGGGACCCTGTTGATCCACTGGAGAAGGGGTGGGTTCCCTTCTGTAGCATAACTCAGAGCAGATGTGAAATGCAACATCCATTCACCATGCTGGGGTTTTCTGTTATATAAAAAATGAAGAAAACAACAACTTGAAGCCAATGAAAAATCCACCTCTTGTCTCGGACTTTGGGCTGAAAAAAAACTGAACATCTCATTCTTTTCTACTTATATCCCTTGATTATAAAAGGCAAAATGTTGTTTATTTTCTCAGTGAAAGAATTTCTCATTTCCTATTCTGTGACCCAGCCTTCAGTGGCTATTGTTAATAGCAGTGAGATTTGGACAGACAGCTGGAAGACGTGGAGGATACTTGGAGCTGACTTATTAAAATGAAAAAGAGAACAAGGGAGGAGATAGATGGGTGTGGGAAGGGGGCATAATCTCTTTAAACAGCACAGATATGAGTGAATGCGTGTCTGCAGCCTTATACCCAGTGGTTGAGAGCCAGATGAGGAATGAACCAATAAAATTTATAGCAGCAGTGGAAGGAATGATCACAGATATAGGCATCAGAGTATCTTAAATTCTTTCAGTGGTCCCTTGCTAAAGTATGCTCTCACTGCCATGGGGTTACTTTGCAGTCTGTAAGCAGACTTACAGACCCCAAACCATCTGTACATTCAGATGACATTGCCAGTGAGTGATTTGCCATTTTCAAGAGGATTTGGGTACTTGATTTGTTTGAAAATCTAGGTACTGGCACTCTAGACTGTTCTGCCATTGATCTCCAGAGTGCTAAGATTTCATCTATGGCTTCACAACTATTGTAACATGGAATTGCTCTTATGTGTCTGGGAAAACCAAACTGTTTTCTTGGTCTATATCTAAATAACAGCAACACCTGTCAAATTCACTGTTAGGAATGTTAACTGTTAAGGTGTTAATCCTTTTATAAGAATGTGTGATTCACTCTTCAATTTAACCTGTACTGAGATGAAAAGAAACAAAGACACGATGGTTAAACAGCTAGAACATCAGCATATCTTCATATAACTTTTTCCTACTAAAAGCAATATTGCTACTCATCCTCACATTTTAGTAAGTTAAAAGGTAGAATGGAGCAAGGAGAGGAAGTTGTTAGGTCAAAATATTACATAAAGTAGCTAAGCACAGAAAAGAAGAGAAAAAGCAATCTCTTAAGAAAAGTCAGAACAGGGAACAAAAGCCTAATAATTTACAAGCCTGTTTCTAAAATGAGACACTGCAAAGTGTTTTCATTGCGCTTTAGGCAATTCCCTACTTTTCACTGAAAAACCAAGAAAATAAAATAAAAGAATACTTTGCTATGGCATCTATCAGCAGTGCTTGCAATATTCATCTATGTGACCTGGCACTGGAAGAGACAGAAGTGAATTAAAGTGCTGGTGGAAAAGGATGGGTAGGAATATCTGAGTGAGTATTGCACTTTGCTAGAAGCGGTGAGCTGTTCATATTGCATTTTGGTTTTGTAGATTGAAATAATTGGCAGGGTGCTCAGAGCAGGTGGATGGTTATTTCTAGTCTAGTCTATTCTGGTCTAGATCAAAACTAATAAATAAAGTAGAAAATGCACTCAGCCTCCGGGTCCTTAGATTGGCTTTGGTTTTATTACTTATGTACTACCTGAAGCCTCAACTATTTGCTTAGTTTTGGTGTGTAATGAATTGCTATTTTCATTTATGGCTATAAGCATGACAGAAATCATTACATCATGCCTTATATGAAGAAACCTTTTTTAATTTCACCCTGTTTCAGTGACTATATTCAGGCTATTGTGCAGCATAATCATCTTTTATTACCACACGCTGCACTTCAGAACTGGCAAAGCAGAAGTGCCCTTTAAACAGCATCAAGTTCTTCCCCAGCTGTTTTCAAGATCTGAGGCAAGCCTGGGTTTTGTCTGATTTTCTTTTCCAAGACCTGCCCCTCTTGCTATGAGTATCACTCAGTTGAACAGCTCTATCATTAGACTGTACACAAAGGCATGCAAGAGCATCTGGACAGGACTTAGCACCACGTGCCTCTGAGACGAGTGAAAAATATCACCGGCTGGATTGCAGACTGCTGACAAAGCAGGCATTGGCTAGAGGAGGCAAACAGAAGCAATTCAGTTAAATGATACGCAGTCCCTGAAGTGATGTATTCTGAAGTTAGAAAGAAAGGAAAAAGCAATCAGGGAATGTTTTTGCCATGGTTGCTAACACTGCTCCAATTCATCATGAAAAAGGGAAAAACTCTCATTTAATATAGCAGTGAAAAGTGTCATCCCCGTTTGGCTGTCAGAAAAGGTCTATTAATAATACTTTCTACTAAATAGCTTACCTAAATTGCTCTAGCTGCATTTTAAAGCTGATATTACCGGTCTCATTAAAAGGACTGCTGAACTGAAGTCCAAAGATGCAGCCATTCTAAGACTGCAGTCACTGGTTCCTGAACGAGCTTCAGGTGACTGTGTTTGCGAATGGGTTTGGGCAAGCTCATCCATGAGATCTTTATGCCTTCTTGCACAGGTAAGTTGAAGATGTCTGTAATCACCTTAGGAAGATATGGATTTGAAACCTGAAGGGGACTGGACTTGAATTCATTAGTGCTCCTTCCAGCCAGACCATGGGAATGAACAAATGTTCAGATCCCGCTCCCCCCCCAGCTCTGTTGCTCTCTTGAGAGCTCCACACCTGGACACAGTGTGGCCATTAATAATGATGGAAAAGTCTGGTCTTGAGAGTTGCATTGAACCTAGTGTAGACAGATAATATGAGACCTCAAAAAATATTCCATTAAGAGGACAGAAAGAGCCCTTTTCAGTAGATTTTTTCCTATATAAAACACACCTGCCCTTCAAAGGGTAGAATTTCTTGGGCAGAAGGAAGAGTGATAAAGGAAGACAACATTTTTATTGGATGGAGAAATAGCATGTTATGATGCTCTTGTCTAGTCTACAGGTCTGAATTTTCTCTCTTTAAATGGCCATATAAATCTAGTGGCAAAAGCAGGCAGTGTGTCAATGAATGAATAACCACCAGAGCAGTGCACCATCTCGCCATCCTTCGGCAGCTATTACACCCGAGAAGTATTTTTGGGGAAGCAACTGGCAAATATATATAGGTTGAAGCTTTCAGAATAAACTAAGGGAAGCAGCTTTACCTCTTCCTTTCTAAATTAACAAACTAATGTTCCAACACAGCTTTTTCAAAGGTGAAAGATTTACCATTTAAAATTTGTCTACGTTGTAATTCTATGTTAAACCATGTATGTCAAAAAGTTGCTCTGAATTCCTAGTACACATTGTTGCTTCTTGGTCACCAAGAACTTCTGAAAGCATATAGAATCATAGAATGGTGTGGGTTGGAAAGGACCTTAAGATCATCTAGTTCCAACCCCCCTGCCATGGGCAGGGACACCTCACACTAGACCATGTCACCCAAGATATGTACAAGCCCAGCCAAAACAGCACTATATTGTAGTCTCTTACATGATCCAAAAATCATTGCTGTGTGACTACTCTGAAGTAAGCTTTCTTGCCATTTAAGATGCTAAAACATAAAAAAGGGAAAAAAGAAAAAAAGAAAAAAAGAAACACTTTGAGCTTTCATTTATATACACCTTGACACACGTTGAGAGACCACATGAGAGAAGATGTTTTCCTTCCCAGAAGGTCATGATCTCCTTCCTGGAAAAAAAACCCAAACCAAACCAATAAAGAAGGTCCAAAAATCTTTTTTATTTTTGAATAAGCTTGAATCACAAACATACATTTCCAGCCACAGCTCTGCTTTACTCAAGATGGAATTCCAGGTAACCTCGCAGGAAAAACACAGAAGTCAACATATTTTTTAAGCCTGGTCTTCTGGGTCATCAGTTTAAACTATACTTCAGAGATTGAGCTCTAAAGACATTTTTGAAGGCTGAAAGATTTGGCAAGAGCCGAACATGAAACATGTGCATTTGGAAGATTTAGAGTTCAGAGGTTTTTAACCTACACTGTGTCAGGTATCTAAATTCAGTGTCATGAATGAACTAGAAGCCCTTAACTTTATTTAACTAACTGTAAAGGAAGCTTGGCTTGGGTTGCGTTTTGCTGAGATGCATAAGGCAGCCTCGGGGGCGTGATGTGAACAACCCTTTGTTGCACAGAAGCAGCTTTTTGTAATGGCACTGAAGAGAATCTCAGCACAAACTGGTTTGCACCCCTTGTCTGAGGGTATTTCAGAATTTGGACACAAGCAGGTTGGTGCTGAGAAGCACCGACATCACTGCCACACTTCCCAGGGTTAATGACACAAGGTGTACTAGCAAGGTAGTTCTGTGCTTCTAGGAGCCACAGTTTCAGCTGTGCTCACCCCAGTGGTGATCTATGTGGTCTCTCATACATCACAGGCTCAGGGTAAAGGCAACAAATTGGTGAGGTAACTACCAGTTTCAGTCCTGATGGAGATGTATGTGCAGACCCTTCCTACCTATATATACAAATGTGACCTCACATTGCATTCTTAAAGATAACTTACACACTGCAGTTGATATCAGGGAGGCTGAGCATTGAATGCAGTACTTCTTAAAGACTCAGCACTTCAGCAAAATGACAGGTACCTGAAAACAGTATCGGTTTAATTTCCCTTTCTGCCCCATGCAAAAAAGCTGTAAAATGTTAGATTTTTTTCTTGTCATTTGCTTAACTGCTTAATTTGATTGATGTGGGTAACTGAACAAGAGGTAAGGAGATGAAAAACAGGCCATTATCTTTATTTGTTAGCATATTTTTATTTTGTGTAAATACTCAAGTTTTGATTTTAGTCAGAGAACATTTTTCTAAAGCAGACAATTTTTACTAACAAAAGACTTGTCATCAGAAATTTCACTCTCTGAAGGTAAAAGAGGAGCTGACTTAACCAGCTAAATACTACAGGAATCTAATCATAAGCAAGAGACTTACTGCAAAATGTGTTGGAGAGTGCTACTCCTCCTGGTCCCAGCAGCCGAGAAACCACTGCTCTCATTTAGGTTTGACACTTTTTCCAGCATGGCAAACAGCAAATTAATGCTTTATTTGCTGATCTGACCCTCAGTGGCTAAATTTTACTGAACTACAAGATTCACTTTGTAAAGCAATGTTCTTCTGGTAATTGTGCTGTGCTTCATTTAGGAAATGATACTGAGCGCAGTGAATTATGCCTATGGTGATAATAGGCATTTAGCTTTCAGATTCTGATTGTGCCATTAAAAACTGTGGAAAGATTGTTACCCAGAAAGAAAGTCTTGATAAAATTTATGCTAGATGAGTTAGAAGCAGTGTGGGGAAAAGGACACTCATACGAATTGCCTTAATTATTGATTGATGAAAAACACTTTTGTCCTAGGAGTATCAATATCATAGGAAGATAGCTCTAAAGTAAATGCATGTTCTTTCCTGTTCACTGTGGCATTGCTTTAATTTCACAACTCAGTAGCCCAGGCATCACCTGAGTTCCTAAAGAATTGAATAATTGATCCATAATTAATGGATGCACAGAGCAGGAAAACAGTAGCTAATACAACAGTCAACTATGGAGCATGAGGCTGTGTACTTGTGTAACTTTGTGGACCTTTTATTGGATCTGTACAGCCACATGCTGAAAGATACTTTCAAGAGCAAAACCCATTTGAGAAAATGTTGTGTATACATGCCAAATTACTTTCTATGAAGAATAACCTAAGAAGTTCAGTAAATGTACAGGGAGTTGTGTGCATGATGATCCAAATTCACTCCATGGCCACAGTAATCAAGAGCTTTTCCTTGTGCAGATGGAACGAACTAAACAGGCGACACTTTCACACTGAATCACACGTAAGATATCTCAAAGGTTATATGAAAAAGAATTTCAGCACAGAGGCTTGCACCCTGCCCTCAATTTTTTTCCCCAAGTTTGATTTATACTGGCAAAAAAAGCAGAGCCCTTGTTACCTGGGCTTGCTGTACTACTACAGGTAACCCTCCTTGCTTTCTCCTGTGGAGGAGAGGAACTCCTCGCTTCTAAAGAGATCAATGGGGACAGCAAGATCCATTCAAAGGCTTCCCATATTCTGGATTTTCCCTGTCACCATTCTCATGCCTGCATTCGGCACCCACATGCATATGTACTCCATGAGTATGGGCATTCTGCAATTAGCTCAAGTTTAAAAGACTTAGGTTACCATAACACCCAGCTCTCAGATATGAACAGATGGCATTTATAAATGCACAGAAACAAGAAGGTAATCCTCTAAAGTAAGTTTATTTCTGTAAGCCTTCAGAGTCCTATTAAAATGATAGAGAGTATTAATCCATTGATCTGCTGAACAAGAGAAACAGCAATCTGGCTTGTCCAAGTATCTTTGAGTCTTAATGTGACTTTCAGCAAATTAAAATGCTTATAGAAACCTGTAGAGTTAGGTTATCAGTTCAGTCTTACTTGTTTTGCAACACTGGCTACTCAAGCTATTCTCATCTCTTATTTCTTTGAGCATGATTGAAATGCTCCCAAGAAGAGGAACCTCAGAGAGCTGCACAGGGTTCTCCTCATCCTGTAAGGCACCAAACATCTCTTGTACGATTGCTATGTACTTTGAAATCATCCAGCAATGTGCAACTGGAGAACACAAATTAATTAAGTTAAGAGGCATGCACTTTAGAGAACAGACTAAAACCAAGGGTCCCATCCAGCTTTAAGCACTGTGAATCTCTGACAGCCTCAAGCTGACAGCAGCTTGCAGAATGAGATTCTAAAATAAAGACTCCCGTGTAACAGCAGATGGAACTAAATGACAGAATGTGGATAAATATAGAGGACTAAAGAATATAATATCTATTTGAAGCAAATAAATCACTGTGCTTATAGCCATCCAAGGAAAGGTAGCCACTAGAAGGGGCTGATCAGCATTAGCAAGCTCCTCCTGAGTTTATGCTGTGTTCCCTTCAGAAGCAAGGCAAGTTGTTAGGCACTTGCCAAGCATCTGCAGAAGGAATGCTCCTAAGATACCTGGTCTGTGGTTATGAGGGTTAGGATAACAGAGAACTTCAGACAGGCAGCTCTTCTGTTCATTGAGTGCTGACAAACTTGGATCACATATATGTGCAACATGAGAGCTATTTTGTAATGAGTTGGTGAGCATGTCAGCTAGAACACGTTAGAATTAAAGTTAGTGCACTTGCCCAGGATTTAGAGTGGTGCAGTTCCTAACTGATCTGATGATTCAGTGAAGTACCCCCATGACAGGCAAAGACACTTTGTCTTTTTCCAATCTAAAAGTCTACATCAGATTTCATCTCCAAGCTTCACAAAAACTGGTGGATTAGGTTGGATTTTTTTGTTTCATGCTTTTTGTCAATGCTAAAATTCAAGAGGAGGTAGAATATAAATGCAGTCGACCTTAACAATGAATCTGCCATATTTAAAAGAACGTGCCAGCACTTGTCCATTCAACAGAAGCATAAAGATGCAAAGTACTTGAAGTAAACACAAGTATCATCTATGTTATGGAGACAGATTCTTGTCAGGTGGGTGTACACTGCTTCAGTGTGGATAGCCAGATGCTCTAGTCATTCTTTTAAAGGACCTAGAACATTCATAATGATTAATCACATTTCTAAAGCAGTAATGTATGCTACCATCTGTTTAACTAAATCTCATGCTTACAGACATACACCAGGCAGCTCACAGGGGTCAGACATTAATTCCCCCCTTTTCAGACCAGGGAACAATTGGCTTACACCATTATACTTTTATCCGGTCCTTCTGGTTTTAGGTACCAACCACTAATAGAGCCATGACTGAGAGCACGGCAGGAGAGAAAACTATTTGAAAATGTAGAGCTCTGACCTCAGATCTTGTCTTCTCTATAATTACTTTATAGTTTTCAAGCACCCATTTCTTTGTACCTGAGACAACTGTTGATATCCTTCTCTAAAGTGAACTATAAGAACAAACTCAACAGGTTATGACAAAACTAAACTTCCCTAGGAGCATTTGCTTGCTTCTTTACATGCTTGAGTTCACATGCCCAGAGGCTTCTGTTTCATTCAGTGTAAAAAAGGATTTTGACAGGGTTGTATGTATCATGTATGTATCCCGTATCATCCTGTACATTGCATGAGATTTGTCACTATGAGTTTTGGATTGTCTTATACATGCCTAAAGCCTTTTTCACCTGTTTCCTTGTACTGATTAAGCTCTTAGTTAAAATTACTCAAGAAAAGTAGCCTTAGGGATTTTGAAGATTATCATCTCCTTCTTCCATTTTGTAGAGATACTAAAGGATCTGGATTTGAAGTATTACATTTAATGCAAACTATTGAAGCACGCTTTATATTTCAGATTGAAGTTTAAATACCATATCTCATACAGATTTGCACTTCGTTAGCATTGCTACTGTGTTTTTTCTCCTTGTTTGTTTGTTTTAATAGAGGTGTTGCTGAACTAACAAAACCTTTCATGATGCACTCTCACAAGGAATGGGCTCACCCTATCATCCAGCTAGAAAGAATGACCATTTCAGTTGCACTGATTCTTAAGAGGGAGACAGATTGTTCTAAAACACAACTATGTCTTCAAATAATGCCTGAACCTAGAGTATGTGTCAGGTTTCTTACACAGCTGAATCTGCTATATGCAAAAAAAAAAAAAAGGAGAAACAATTTCAATACCATGCACTTGCTATGAAGATATGTCCATTTCTTACCCAGAGAGCACTCTCACAAATTGGCCTAGTTGCCAGAAGGAAAATTACTGCATTTATTTGCATTTATGAATTTGATGGCTGGTTTATGTTAGAGTGAAATTAAGCAGAT